GAAATTTACTCTCGCTCATATATATGGTGTTTTTTTAATTTTTTTACTTAAAAAAAAATCTTAATGGAAATTTGAGAAAAGTAGGGAACAGAAGCCATGACTGATAATATGGTATATTTATTCCAGCAAACTTTGATTGCATAATATAGTCATTGAGAAAAAATAATGTCCCATTTATATGGTCATCCTTCCCAGATCCAAGAAATATTATATTTAATATTCTGTATAATACCTTCTCAGAGCCAAGAAATATTCTATTTAATATTCTATATGATAGAATCTGACACATCACTCTGTTTGTCTCCTCATGGTTGTTATCATTGGATTTTTTATTTGGTTACTTCTTCCTTGTTTATTTCACCTTATTAGAATGTACATACCACAAACATATAGGCTCTGCTGACCTTCATTCCCTTGGGACCTCACCTAGTTCAACCGTTAAAATTAATTCTATCTACTTGCTGACAATTCTCAAAATTACATCTCTAGCCCAGACCTCTCTCCTGAATTCTGGACTCACATGTATAATGCATATAGACACATACACACACAAACTTCCATTACATATTCACTGCATACACATATGTCTGTTTATTTCACGTGTCCAAAATCAAATTCTGGACTCTATTACCCCAACAACCTTCCTCAGTCAGAAACCCACCCATCTCAATTGATGACCAGTCCATCCCAAGGCAGTCATCTTTGACTCCTCTTTTTCTCTTAAACTCCACACCCATTAATTCCATCAGTACATTTTATTGTTTTTGTCTTAAAAAATATATCCAGAATCTGACCAACCTCTCACCATCCTGCTACCATCCTGGCCAAGCTTTCACCAACTCTCACCTGCTTTATTGCAGTAGCCTCTAAACAAGTCTCCCTGCCTCTGTCTTTCCGCCATCCCCCATTATAATCGATTTTTTTTTTGGGGGGGCTTCATCTTCACTCCTGTACTTCTCACCCTACAACCATTCAGTGACGGGAACTGTGGAACACATGGCTCCAGGGCTCCAGGTGGCCCCTGCCTCCCAGGAGAACCAGCCACCCCTTCTAACTGGGCAAAGGAGTTAAACAGAGCATCACCACCACCTCCCTACGGGTTTTTGGCCTGTCTGAAGGACAGAGTACCCTCGGAGCTGGCCTGGGCCCCAGCCCTACTGCTGGGCTTGCCTCCTGCGGTTAGTTGCTATAGGCCTCTTCGAACATGGCCTTGCAGGGGAAGCCGGCCTTTAGCTTGGAGCAAATGAGGAAGGAGCCCCCCCATCTTCCTGTGCAGGGAGTAGGTCTCCTCAGGCGGGGGGACAAGACCATGTCTCAACATGACGGGAATCAGGTTGTGGATCTTCTCGGTGGTGCTCTGGGTGCCAAAATCAAAGGGCTCATCGGAGGTGAAGGCCTCCCCCAGGATGAGGATGGCATCCAAGTGGGCGTCTTCCATGACCTTAACTTCGTAGCCGGTGAGGAACTTCATCTCTATGGATTTTGCCCGCACAGTCTCCCTGTCCCTGTCGGCAGCAGCCCTGATGATCTGAATGTAGAGGTCGGTGAAGGACCTGTCATATTCCTGTGTTGCCCCAAAGTCCAAAAGAGCCACCTTGTGCTGCTGGGGGGTCACAGAAGAAGCTGGACCAGTTGGGGTCTGTCTGCATGAAGTGGAACTCGAACAGCTCCCTCAAGCACAGAACCAGGATGTTGTAACAGATCTCATTTCTAATCTCCTGGCTGAGCCCTTCGGCCTGGTCCAAGGGGAAGCCGGACACCAGCTCTGTGGTCAGCACGTGTGGGCTGCAGAGCTCGTCCACGATCTCAGGCACGTAGAAGAAGGGGTGGCCCTTCAGTAGCTCCCTGAACTTGCGGGTGCAGGCAGCCTCCCACTGGTAGTCACACTCCAGCCCCAGCTCCCGCCTCAGCACATCGATCAGGTGCTAGGGGAACAGGCCTTCTGGAAGCATGTTGCTCATGTTCAGCACGGCCATGAGGTTGTTGACGTCGCTGTTGATGCTCTGGGCCACACCAGGGTACTGGATCTTCATGGCCACCTCTCGACCGCTCTTCATGCAGGCCAGGTGCACCTGCCCAATGGACGTGGCGGCGAAGGGCCGCTCCTCAAAGTACTCCAGCTTGTCCCGCCAGTTGGGGCCCAGGTCATGGTTGAGAGTTTTCATCATCTGTTTCAATCGCATGAAGTCCGCACTCTGCCGCACCGGCTCGAAGATCTTGGCCAGGTGGGGGCTGATGAAGGCGTTGTCCTGGATGCTCCATGCATACGATGCGTTTAGCATTGGCCTCAGACAGAAAGGGACTGGAATCCAGCACAGCCTTCTTCCCTGAGGGGTCCTCGGAGCGCAGGCTCTTCTTGGCAACTTCTGCCAGTGCCCCAAAACCCAGACCCACGGCCAGACCTACGAAATTGGCCAGCCGCCCAATCCTTGTCACGGGCACCTTCCGCTCCCGAGCATGCTCGCTGAGCATCTGTTTGCGCTGCTTGTTCTCTGGGCGAGCCTTGGCCTGCCGGGCCTTCTCGATGTCCTCAGCTGTGAGGTCCCCCACAGGGGACTGGTCCTGGTGGAAGAACCTTCGCTGAAAGCCCGTGGCAGAGAATGAGCCTTTGGGGTTTGCAAAGAAGGGGATGAGGATGAAGGTGAAGAAGATGAAGATGATGATGAAGGGGAGGAAGGAGAGGAGGATGAAGGCGAAGATGACTAACAGAACACTGATGGATTCCAACCTTCTTTTTTTTAAATTTTCTCCCTGGGCCTGGGGTAAATTTTCTTTTTTTTTTTTTTTTTTTTTTTTTCCTTCCCTCTTGTGCTCAGTCACCCTGTTTTTGAGGTTTCTTTTCTCTACACCATGGTTCCCAACTTATTTTGGGGGAAATATGTTAAGCAGGATACAATGGGAAAAGAGTCTCTACCCCTTTCTGTTTGAAATTCATTTTACCTCTTCCTGACTTAACAAAAACTGTATGGAATCACCACCACCGAGCTCTGTGGGAAAAAAGAGAAACCTGCTCCTTTCGTTCTGCTGGAAGCTGGAGGGTGGTAGGCCCCTGTGTAATAGCGCATAGGATTCTAGCTTTTTTCCTCCTTTCTCTGTATATTGGGCTCAGAGAGTACACTGTGTCTCTATGTGAATATGGACAGTTAGCATTTACCAACATGTATCTGTCTACTTTCTCTTGTTTAAAAAAAGAAAAAAAAACTTAAAAAACTGTGTTATAGAAGGTCAGCAAAGGGTGGGTTTGAGATGTTTGGGTGGGTAAGTGGGCATTTTGACAACATGGCTTCTCTTTTGGCATGTTTAATTGTGACATCTGACAGATATCCTTGCAGTTTAAGATGACACTTTTAAAATAAATTCTCTCCTAATGATGACTTGAGCCCTGCCACTCAATGGGAGAATCAGCAGAACCTGCAGGATCTTACTTGGAATTGACATTCTCTATTGTAATTTTGTTCCTGTTTATTTTTAAATTTTCTTTTTGTTTCACTGGAAAGATGATGCTCAGTTTTAAACGTTAAAAGTGCTTTGTTACAATAAAACTAAATGTGTACACACAAAAAAAATCGTATGTGTACACAATAAAAAAACTATACATGTACACAAAAAAACTAAATGTGTACACACATAAAAAAATGTATACAAAACTAAATGTGCACACACACACACACACACACAATTCTCGTATCTCTGAGTGATCTCTTTAAACCTAAGGCAAGTCACTTCATAACCCTGCAACGGCTTTGTTTCCCTCAAGAGTAAAAACCAAAATTCTTTCTGTGGCCCCTTGTTCCTTTCTGATCTTCTCTTGCTACTTTCTCCTTTGCTTACTCTCACTCAAGTCTCTGTATTTTCTAAATGTTCTTCAATAAGGTACTTTTTTTATTAATAAAAAGTTTTAAATGATAAAACTATAAAAGAGTAATCTAATCTGCCATTTTACCCAAATGCTTCCACTACTAGAACAGGATTGAATAACAAATCTGAAAAGAAAAACTAAGTAAATTTATGAGAAGAGTTTATGGTGCCCTGAATGCCTACATGCCTAATGAAGACGTTGATAAACACAATTCTCAAAAAAACCAAACGGTATGGTGAAATAGCACAAGTTCTGGGTTTGGGATTGAAATATAATTCTTAAATCTTTTATTACTTACTAATTGTGATACCTTGACTGGTCACTATTCTCTCTGATTCATTTTCCTCTGTGTAAAGATGAAGCGATCAATCTGTAAAACTAATAAACTTGGTGTTCTACAACAAGAACACCTCTACATAGTTTCCAAAAACACACCTAATAAGGCTGACTTATTCCTTAGAATGTTATTGAACATTCTAGATTAATCTGCATATACAAAAGAATGACAGAAAAGAAACCAAAATACCAAAAATGTTTCGAGCCTGGTTGCGGATTGAGTTTTATACAACTTCCAAAATCACTACCTGGGAGATTGTCGTGGGCACCCTACTAAGAATAAACAGAGGGGTGTGGTGGCTCACTCTCTAGGAACCACAAACTTAATGTTCTTAAAAAGAACAGAGATTTTAAACAGTCAGACTGTATAGGTATCATGACCCAGGGTTGGGGGCAGATGGCTCTACATGACCTGGGGTGGTGGGGAAAAGGGGAGAGATGGAGAAAATCTTCTATCAGGATCTCCTGGGGAGCTGCTCCCGAGCTGAAACAAACCACCAGTTAGGACGAATCGCCTTTGATATGAAAGTTGGGAAGCTAGATTGTTCCTCAGCGGGTCGGTTCTAACAATTTTGTTACCCAACCCGAACCACTCACCGGGTCTACTGGGCTGCAAGCCCTTAACAGTTGGAAACAAGCGGCCCAGGCCCAACACAGTCAGACAAATCGCTGGGTGGCCATCCGCTCCTGAGATAATTGCTAGAGAAACACGACAAAATCCAGCTTCACCCCATCAAGGTTTCCCGAGTGCCGACCAAGGCGCTCTAGGGGCGTGGTTGCGTGAGCGACGCACGGAAGGGGCGGGTCAGAAACAACCGTACCGAGGAGCTCCCCAGGGCGCATGCGTGCTCTGCGGCGCGGGCTGTGGGAAGGTTGGGCTATGGCAGCTGCTCGGGACCCTCCGGAAGTATCGCTGAGAGAAGCCACCCAGCGAAAATTGCGGAGGTTTTCCGAGCTGAGAGGTACCAAAGAAGGAACCTGAGTTCTCCCGGGCAATGGAGAGGGAGGGTGCTTTGCGTGCCAGGAGTTTTGTTGGACTGTCACTTCCCGTCTGCTTCTCATCTGCAGGCCTGTGACTGGCTCAGAAGTAGCTAGCTAATAATCCTTTTGAGTTTTTTATTCTTCTCACTGTCCCTGCTTGACATTATACTTGTTGCTTACTTTATTCTTCGTAGTGTGGATATTAAATAAGGGCGAAGGAAGAAGACTAAAGAAAATCTGACTAGTGAAGTTATGCATTGGTTAGCTCGTTAACAAAAGTTAACTTTAAGTAAATCTAAAAGATCTGAAGCACAGTATTTAGACATTTATGAGTAGATCCCAAATCCCTGTCTACTTCCTGGTTTACATTACCTTCACCTACTCCTGTAATGTAAGCACTCGTTGAGGTAGGAACAGAACATGGAAGAATTATGGATTAAAAATTAAAAGGGAGAAATTTGTCATCAGAAAATTGGCTATGCCACTTAATCCCTGTACAACTGTCTAATAAAAGTGATTAGACTTTTGATGCAGTGACTAACAAATACTGGGACTAATACTTGGAAAACGGTAAAATGTTCACGACTATTAGATTCTAGCTGACACGTTCTGTTTGTTAACTAATTAAAACACTTAATCATTTTGTTTATCAATAAAGAGATTCCAACCGTCTACCAAAAGTGCAGACTGTCTTTTAAAGAGGTCATTAGAGAGTTGGGACCTTCTCAGAATTTTATATTATATTCTAACAGCCTATGTAAGTTTGCATGGTTCATCTTAAAGTAATAGAAAATAAAGTACCTACATTTATAAATAGCAGCATTGATGGAATGGATCTTTGGGTTGTGTCTTTCTTAATCACCTAGCACTAAATGGCCCTGATATATAAAAATTGATTTGCAAAACTGGTAATAGTCTTTGGCAAGTGAAATTAGCTCTCTTAATCAAGAAAAATTATGTCTTTCAGAATTTATAAATAAATGGGATTGTAGACCATAAAAGGAGGGAATGATCAAAAGAGAGTGAAAAAAAGAAAAGAACTTGTGAGCAGTCTTTATTATAGCCATTTTGATTTATACTAATGTACCACTAATTATTCCCTAGCTCTCAAAAGCCAAAGATACATTTGGAAGATGATAATAAATGTTACCTTCTTTTTCGTCTTTCTAAATAGGCAAACCTGTGACAGCTAGAAAATTCTGATAATTTTTGTCCTCATTTCCTTGCTTTTTCCAAATAGGCAAAGTGGTAGCACCTGGAGAATTCTGGGACATAGTTGCAATAACAGCAGCTGATGAAAAACAGGAACTTGCTTACAATCAACAGCTGTCCGAAAAGCTGAAAAGAAAGGAGTTACCACTTGGAGTTCAATATCACGTTTTTGTAGATCCTGCTGGAGCCAAAATTGGTACGCGATTTATGGTCAGGTTTATAATATATGCCCTAAGCAGAATAATCATTGAAGAAAAGCTTTTCTGTGGCTTACACTTTACAAGCTGCATATCTCTACCTACAACTTTACATACTTTAAAATTTGTAGAACAGGGCATATCAACTCTTCTTACCCATTATGACTTACCTTGAAAAACTTCTAGAATGTTACTTAAAAGATAATTTTTTTTAGTTTTAATGCAATTTACACTACTCAGGTAGGAATATTCTTTTGGACCTTATCAGTGGAGCCCTTAAAATCCTCCCAGCTCCACAGTTTTTCCAGCAGTTTACACGAAGAAAGCAAATGGGGGCAAAATACTCCTGGCCTTTTGGAGATATAATGCAGAATGCAAAATAACACTGTCACATGGTTTAAATATCATTAAACATATATTTGAAAACCCTAGTTTAGTTCAACTTTGCCCTTTGACCTTCTGTTACAAATAGAAATAAATGCTCTTTTTCTGAAGGCTATTTTCTATGTGCTTCAAGGTGCTTTCTACTAAAAGTTGAGGCACCTTGATACCAGAGATAGGATATCTGCATATGACATTAGCGTTATTCTAATTATCGAATGTTATTTTTATTTTATCCTTGCAACTATGAGGTCAGTACTCTTATTATTTCCATAGATGAGAATCTGAGGTACCTAGAGTTAAGTAACTGCCCTAGGATAACTAATGTGGTAGTTATATTTAATATATATATATATATATATATATATATATATATTTTGTAATCCAAGTTCTAAAAATCTTTTTTCAAAAGGAACTCTAACTTGTGTTTTTGATTGTGTCATTTGGGAGAATTATTTAAATGGGCTTTGTGATTTGTAACTCTGAATGTTTATACTTATCAGTCTTCTAGTGTTGCAGATTTTGTAATTTATTCTTTCTTATAATTACTATTTTCAGGAGAATATGACCTCATCATTTATTACTGAAGGTTGCTGTCTGGGTTTCATTGCTAATTTATTGATTGGTTGTTTACTATGAGATGATTTTAATTTTGTTCTATTGGCAATACCTTTGGTATCTGTCTAATTATTGCTGAAAGCCAAATCTTTAAAGTTATATGACACTTAAATTTACCGTCATGACACTTTTAGTAGGTTTCTATGAAATAAATTGTGCTTTTTAACTTTATTTTTAAGGAAATGGAGGATCAACACTTTGTGCCCTTCAATGTTTGGAAAAGCTATATGGAGATAAATGGAATTCTTTTACCATCCTATTAATTCACTCTGGTAAAGTTATAATTTACTAATTTACATTTTCTTTTGAGTTTTACACCTTTAATACTTTAGAGACTTTTTTCTTTCTTGCAAATACTTTGCTTCTACTTTTTAAAAAAATCTTTGAAGTTATTCTGCTTTGAAAACAAATATTTCCTGATTTTCATGATTTTTGTAGGTTGTAAGTAGTATAGTGATTTTCACAAATTTTACCCTTAAAATTGTAGATCACATATATCATCAACTTTTTATGAATATTGTTTTGTTTTTGTATGCACAGAAAATTATTTCCCTAACACAGGACCCATTCAAATATGAATAGTTTTCAGGAATGCTTTAGTGGAGATTTTTCTTTTAATTTTAATTTTAATTTTAAGTTCTGGGATACGTGTGCAGCTTTGTTGCATAGGTAAACGTGTGTTATGGTTGTTTGCTGCGCCTATCAACCCATCATTGGTATTAAGCCTAGCATGTGTTAGCTATTTTTCCGAACGCTCTTCCTCCCTTAGTGGAGATGCTTGCTTTGGGAGAAGGCTGGTTTAACACTATCATTACTTGACTTTTCCTGGTACTTTCTATCTTGCATTTTTGTGTGATTATTGGTAGCCAAAGGCCACAATGTTTAAAAATAAAAGGGAAATGTGACAAGATAAGGAGTGGACAAGTAAATATATATGGGAAAAATCACACAGTAGAAGACATTTTAAAACAGAAAACTAGGAAGGACATAGTCTCAGAATAAAGATAGCCTTTTAAATTGAATACATTTAGTCGTATGAAATTTTGGTTACATGAAAACCTTTGTTATTTTTCTCTATATGTTAAGGGACTAATGAAAACTGTCATGAATTGACACCAGTCCAGGGACAGGTGTTTTAGAATCATTCATCTACATGGCTTCCAAGGCACTTTCTAACTCTTAATGATTTACATATAAAACAATGATTCTTTTTAAAGGTGATGTCAAAGTAGAGCATCCAAGTTCTGGTTTTAAGACTAAAAATTTGTAAAAAGATCACATTGACAATTTTATTTATGAGAATTATTATTATTATCAGTTTAGTAAAAATTAAGTTAGATATCAGGAAATGCATAGTTAGATAATTGTTTTTATTTTTTGGAAATAGATAATTCTTAGTGCTAAATTTTACTATTGGCTGGTCTTTGGAAAAAGAAAAAATAGAAAGTTATTAGCTCTCTTTTGTTGAACAATGTACCATGTGCCAAGTACTTTGCATATATTATTGATCTTCAGTAATAAATTAACTTACTATAACATTTTTACTTTATAAACTTTTTAATTTTTTTTTAACTTTTTGACTCTATTATAATAACACTTAGCTTAACACACAAACACTATGCAGCTGAACGTTAGGGTTTATTTTGTTGTTTTTATTTTCACTTTTTAAAACTTTGGTTAGAAAGGAAGACACAAACACATTAGCCTAGGCTGACACTGGGTCAGAATCATCAGTATCACTCTCTTCTACCTCTATTGCCCTATTAGAGTTCAGGAGCTGTCATCTCCTATGATAACAATGCCTTCTTCTGGAATATTTCCAGAAGGACCTGCCTGAGGCCATTTTATGCTTAGGTTTTTTTTTTTTTTTTTTTTTTTTTTTATTTGTATCATATGAATTTATTCTAAAATAACAATCAGAAGTATAAAATAGTAAATACATAAACCAGTAACATAGTCATTTATTACCAAGTATTGGGTACAATCCATAATTATATATGCTATACTTTAGTAAACTGGCAGCACAGTAGGTTTGTTTATACCAGCATTACCACAAACACTTGAGTAGTGCATTGTGCTAGGACATTACAGTGGCTACAACATCACTAGGTGATGGGAATTTTTCAGCTCTGTTATAATCTTATGGGACAACCATTGTATGTTCTGTCCATCATTAAGCAAAATGTTGTAAAGAAGCAAATGACTGTAACATATTAGTTTTCTATAACTTTTATTTTCTGTGAAGTGGATTCTTAATTAGAAGCCTAAACAGGATTGACATTTGTTGTTTAAATAGATACAGGCTGGGCATGGTGGCTTACACTTGTAATCCCAGCCCTTTGGGAGGCCCAGGCAGGTGCATCACCTGAGGTCAGGAGTTCAAGACCAGCCTGGCCAACATGGTGAAACCTCGTCTCTACTAAAAATACAAAAATTAGCCAGGTGTGGTGGTGGGTACCTGTAATCTCAGTTACTCAGGAGACTCACTTGAACCCAGGAGGTGGAGGTTGCAGTGAGCCGAGATTGTGCCACTGGACTCCAGCCTAGGTGACAGAGTGAGACTCGGTCTCAGAAAAAAAAAAAAAAAATGTAGGTACAACATCATGTTTTGGCTGCTGTCCTTTTTATTCGTTATACATTTAATTCAAAACATTTCATTGGCTCTGCAGTATACTTAAATTTTTTTCGTGACCTAGAGTTTTTAAAATCATGTCATATCAAATGGCAACAAGAGAATTTCTCTTTGAACTTTTAATCTAGAGTTCATTATTCTTTCCTGATTTGCACTAACACATGGTGTATATTAAATATCTTTAGAGATATTTTGATTTGTAACTGATGCCCCTGGGGTTTGAAAATTTATAAACAATACCACAGTTTTTAAATGGTTATTATGTTTTAATTTTGTAGGTGGCTACAGTCAACGACTTCCAAATGCAAGTGCTCTGGGAAAAATTTTCACTGCTTTACCTCTTGGTAACCCTATTTATCAGATGCTAGAATTAAAACTAGCCATGTACATTGATTTCCCCTCACATATGAATCCTGGAATTCTGGTTACCTGTGCAGATGATATTGAACTGTATAGTATTGGAGAATTTGAGTTTATTAGATTTGACAAACCTGGCTTTACTGCTTTAGCTCATCCTTCTAGTTTGATGATAGGTACCACACATGGAGTATTTGTCTTAGAGCCTTTTGATGATTTAGAACATAGAGACCTTGAATACAGATCTTGTCATCGTTTCCTTCATAAGCCCAGCATAGAAAAGATGTATCAATTTAATGCTGTGTGTAGATCTGGACATTTTTGTCAACAGGACTTTGCTGGGGGTGACACTGCTGATCTTAAATTAGACTCTGACTATGTCTATACAGATAGCCTATTTTATATGGATCATAAATCAGCAAAAATATTACTTGGTTTTTATGAAAAAATAGGCACACTGAGCTGTGAAATAGATGCCTATGGTGACTTTCTACAGGCTTTGGGACCTGGAGCAACTGTGGAGTACACCAGAAACACATCAAATGTCGTTAAAGAAGGGTCAGAGTTGGTAGAAATGAGGCAGAGAATATTTCATCTTCTTAAAGGAACATCACTAAATGTTGTTGTTCTTAATAACTCCAAATTTTATCACATTGGAACAACTGAAGAATATTTGTTTTACTTTACCTCCGATAACAGTTTAAAGTCAGAGCTCGGCTTACAGTCCATAACTTTTAGTATCTTTCCAGATACACCAGAATGCTCTGGCAAAACATCCTGTATCATTCAAAGCATACTGGATTCGACATGTTCTGTGGCACCTGGCTCAGTTGTGGAGTATTCTAGATTGGGGCCTGATGTTTCAGTTGGGGAGAACTGCATTATTAGTGGTTCCCACGTCATAACAAAAGCTCCGCTGCCTGCATATTCTTTTGTGTGTTCCTTAAGCTTGAAGATGAATAGATGCTTAAAGTATTCCACCATGGCATTTGGAGTGCAAGACAACTTGAAAAAGAGTGTGAAAACATTGTCAGATATAAAGTTACTTCAATTCTTTGGAGTCTGTTTTCTGTCATGCTTAGATGTTTGGAATCTTAAAGTTACAGAGGAACTGTTCTCTGGTAATAAGACGTGTCTGAGTTTGTGGACTGCACGCATTTTCCCAGTTTGTTCTTCTTTGAGTGATTCAGTTACAACATCCCTAAGGATGTTAAATGCTGTTAAGAACAAGTCAGCATTCAGCCTGAATAGTTATAGGCTGTTGTCCATTGAAGAAATGCTTATCTACAAAGATGTAGGGGATATGATAACTTACAGGGAGCAAATTTTTCTAGAAGTCAGTTTAAAAAGCAATTTGATTTAGAGATATTTAAAACATTGTACACTTTGCCTTTTTGAGTTACATTCCAGAGATAGGTATTTTCTGTAGGCTGTTTCACTGAACTTAATTAATGAAAATTGTCTTAACATAATTGCTGTAGATAATGTTAATAGCACAAAAGTATATATAAATCATATTTGATGAAGACTATTTCAAGACTAAGTTGAGAAAAGTGATACTTTTTTGGATGTATATCATTGTTTTAGTTTTTAATAATGATGGATTTATGGAGCATTGTTTTTTCACATAATTAGTTTAAAAGGTAATTTTCTAAGCATACCTTTGGAGAATTTTTCCATCTTTTTTGAGGCTTTTGATCCAATAAAGTTGTAAGTATTCATTGGCAATTCTCTCCTCAACTGTAATTCTATTTTGACTAATAAAAATGTCATACTATAGGGTCTTCAGAGTACTGTAGGAATACGGAAAAAATGCTTATTCAGAAACAAATCCATAGCTGACAAATTGACTCAGTGCCGAATATATTGTGATTATTTTAGTTGATAAATAGCTAGATACAAAGACCTCTGAAATTGATGATAAAATTTGTATCTCATTGATTTTATCAAAATGAAACTAAAAGTACACATGTGTGATACCCTTGAACATGTGTTTGTGTATCTTTAAAATTTTCCCGTATGTTCCATTCCATAGCAAAACACACACAAATGCACACAAAACTCAGTTTATCTGTGGGGAAAGTGGTAGTAATCATTGAGATTCATCAGTAATCATATAATTTCACCATGGACATCGCTTTCATTATCTCCTATCAGTGCTTCTAACAAAATTTAAATTACCAAATTAACTGACTTTACTTTTCATCTTATTTTTTGTCCACACACTGGTGTTGCTGAGAAGCAAATAATTGGCCCAAATGCAGACATCAAGAGGCAGGCAGAAAAATGGAAAAACTGAGATAATGCACAGACAATAAACACTTTCAAGAAAATAAAAAATTGGCTGAAATCTCAAGTTATGTGTTTCTATATTGGTATAAGCACATAAGTGAAAAGTCTTCATACTAAAGTGTAATAAAGATTTGTCAGCGTGTTTTTTTTAAATGAAATAACTAGTCTGTGCTACTTTTATTTGTATGTTAACATGTCAGTATAAAAATTGCCAAACTAGAAGTAACTGGTTTATAACCTTCAGTTATGATACTTTGTGTGCATGTTTTTTTTTTTTTTTCAAGGTTTTTCCCAAGGAGAAGATACAAATATATGGTAGCTATTGTATATAAATAATTGATTTACTTGCAGATTTTTCAGAGGATGTTATGTGTTTGTCATTCATTAAATGTTCAAAATTTTAGTTTTACCAAATCTGAAGTGCCACCAGTTAAAAGAATCACATTATTTTATGTTCCATTAAGAAAAACACAATAAAATATGATACAGTACTTTCTTTGTTACTTGATATTTTCATATTTATTTGAGATCTCTTTTAGATGTTTTAAATATTTTATTTAACCCTCTTGCATATACATATAAAATAATAAAAAAGTGAAATATTGAGATATCATCAAAACATTTCTACAGCTTCACATTGAAGTTGTCCTGCAGCACTTTCAACTCAGAGTTAACGATATGCATATGTCCATCTAGTACCATCTTCTGTGCTTTCAGAGCTGCTGGTAAGGCTGCATTTCCTGAGTGCTCTAAAACTACTGTCTGAATTATTTTTTTACCAAGCCCGCACTCCTGCAAGTTTTGATACCCTTCTATTTGACAAAACTCAGTTTTGCTTTTGCTTTATTTTAATCGCAGGTCCTTTGAACGTAGGACCTGTGATTCTATTCAAAGTCAGAAAGATTTCTGACATATTGATGTTAATATGAAAATTAACACATTAATATGAAAATTATTATTTGGTAAACCAGAAGCGACCTGTCTGAAGTCCTCAATTATGGCATTTTTGTGTTTATTTTATTTTTCTTTTTCAAGGTTCTTTTTAGAGAAACTATATGGTAGCTGTTGTTTAACATTTACTTATAGATCTTTCAGAGGATGTTACGTTTATTAATTGCTCAATACTGTGTTTTGCTTAATCTGAATTTTAATCATAATCCTGCACAATGCATGGATTCTAGTTGCTTTGAAGTGGTTTTGCTCAAAGAACTTATGAATGTCTCTTGCTTTGAGATGTATTGCTTGGTGTGTAGAAATGTACCACAAATAGTGTACCTTATTCAACTGAAGTGACAGTCATAAACACAGATATGACCAAGTTCACATGTGAGCAGGTAACAACTCTGTGACTATTACTGCCAGGCTAATAGCTATTATACTAACATTTGTAAGGCATATTCCATTTTCTGGCATGTTGAAATGTGGAGAAAAAAAGATGAATTAGGAAATGATTCTAACCTAAGTGTGTGTTTTAATAAAAGGACCTAGGCAAAAAAAAAGTAAGTCACTCTTAAATTTAATCCCTGAATATAGTGTACATGATGATAGGGGAGAAGTGTATTTTGATAAGAAGTGACTAAATTTTGTGACAATCTTCATTTTTCAGGCTTTTCGTTTAGTCTGCCAATAAAGATTAGTTTTTATCTGAATTTTATCAGCAATAAAAAAATAAGACCTGCATATATAAGTTTAAAATTAAACATTTTGTCTCCCTGTATAATTTTCATTTTTATAAAATCTTGACACTTACATATACTCAGGTGTGTAAAAGCCTGCTATTGTTTGTAACTATAGTCCATAAACTTTTGATGAGTTAATTACTAACAACAAGGGCATGAGAAAAATTCAACAGTAATAATCTTTTGCCTTAGGCATTTATTCTCTAAGCAAAACAGAAATAAAGGATATGTATCAGTGTGTACTCGGTTGAAATAAAGCTTTAAAAATCCAAATGATACTCTAAAATTGTTCAAAAGTTTGATGGCATGAATCCAGAATTAATTCCCACAACCTGTGATGATCTAGTCATCTTCTGTAGCTACACAGTAATAGTGTTAAGGTTACCAAATTTAGCAATAAAGCCAAAATCATAACCGCCTGCTGTCACATACAGCTTTTAAGTAAACTACACAAAATCAGTTTCCGTTTACATGGTCCATGAGGCCATCTGGACTTGAGCACTTTGGAGGCTCAGGATTAAGGCACCTCAATATAGCCTAGCAGAATTACAATGGAGAGAAGTGAAAACTGTCATTAGTAGCTAAAACCAGCTGAAGGATTTCAGATACTCTTTTTCTTGTTCATCTAAATCAAGTCTTCATCTGTGTTAAGAACTAAATTGTTAAAGACCTTTTAAATTTGTTAAGTGCAAGAAAAATAATAACCATTATCTACTTAGTTAACTTGAGTCTTCTGTGCCTCTAAAATTTTGTTTAAACAAAGACTATTGAGGTTAAGGAACACAACTTCTAAAACTTAGTAAAATTGTATTATTAACATTTCTTGCATTGAACTTTGTCATATTTCCCTTCTTCTAATACTAGTGTGCCAAATTCTGTAACATAATAGTGTTCTTAATGCTCCCATTTATCTGTATATACAGGAACTTCTGCTTAGGTTTTTTTTATACATAATGAAAGGCTAGTTATACCAGTTGATTGAAAAATACCAGTTCTGTCCCTGGAAGAGCTGTCTACATGAGCCACAACAAACCGAACTTGCCACATCATTCAACTTGCCAATTTGGCTGTAGTTTAGTGGATGACAGCTTTGGGTCAGGCTAATATTTGGGGAAATGGAATAATAAAAGCTGCTGATTTTCATACTGTATTGGAAGTAGGAATATCAGCAGCTTTGGGGGATTGGGGGTGTAGAGGGAAGATGCCTGTGAATGAGTCACTATTATCAACTAACTGCAAAGCAGCTTGGTGATTGACACTTATGTCTAAAGATGTTCATCCCAAGAGCGTTATTGTTCATACAAGTAACTGATTGAAACTAACAGAGTTAATATGTTATTTTGGGCTGCTTGGACAAATAGTCTATCTTTTTGAAGCCTCTGGCTGCAGGGATCTCTTAGCCATCGCACAAATAAATTTCAACCATTCAGACAGAGCAATTCATTTCTGATTGCTGTAGACTAGGGCAATCCATCTGCTAGTGTCATTTACTAGCTATCTGTGCCAGAATTATACTCCTTCAATTGTGCTTCAGTGCATTTCTGAAACAATCTAAACTAAAATGTCTATATTCTTTGGCCACTGGCTTATGATGTGTTACTGATATGCTTATGATGTGTTACTGAATCCCCAGCCTCCTTAAATGCTTTTTAAAATCTTCGTTACAACCAACACATCGTGGCTAAGTAATCTGCACATGTGAATGATTTTTTTAAATTTCTTTTCTTACCAGTATCCACTCTTTTCTCTCTGCAGCACATTCAGATGGTTCAAGTGAGTTTTAATTTACCACTTCCTTGTAGGAGAGTGTCACATTGCCCAGAATAGAATTAAAGCATTTACATCTTGAGGCGAAAAATCTTTTAAAATACAACTATGTCAAAATCAAGTAAGTGTTCGTTTCGTTTGTAGGTTTAGAAATGTTGCACTGCTTAATGAAGTTTTACGTGAGTGGGTTCTTTCCTATTATTTTTAGCCTTGAGATTTGAGAAAGTAAATTATGTCCATCAATATGCTGTTCTTTAGAGAAGTTTCAAATATTTCTAGAACTAGAAAACTTGGACTACACAAAGAAATAATTATGATTATAACAAGTGGCCCAAGTGCAGATTTTAAATGTACAGGCACACTGACGTCATAAATTAAAAATTCACTAGGATCAATCTTTAATGAAATTGAATAAGAAAGATCATCACTCATTATAACTGATTAAAATTGATAGAGCTTCTAATTAAGCATTATCCAGTCCAATCAACAGCTGTCTCTGGAAGCTAGCCTATGAGGAAGGAAGGAGAAAGTTTTAGAGTAATTCTTTTTTACTTGTTGCAACATCTGATGGTTAAATACAAAAGAAATATGTACCATGAGTTCAGTGAGAAGAAGCAATTAACAAAATCAGCCATATTTCTTGTGTCTTCGATTATGTGTCTCCAGACTACAATCATGCTGCAATTTTCCATAACATAAAAATAAATAAAAATAAAAACAATACTTCTGTTAGCCATATTATTTCATCAGGATATAATCAGTCTAGTTTCATCTACAATGAAACCAAAGTTGTTCTAGCCATCATAACATACCCAACACTGAATTCTAGATTCAGATGTTTACCTTCCTGCTTCATATCTCTCCCTTACTGGAAAAAATTGAATAGACATCTCCATTTGGAGAGCTCTGATCTCTCTATCTACTAAGAGAATATTTTTCATCTAGATAAATGACATAGCCATTCACCAAATTGGCAAAAACAAGAAATTTTCCAAGACTCCTCAGTGCTTCCCCCTCATTCTCTTCATCCTGTTTTTCAACAACTGAAGTTTGTATATCAAAAACACAACCAAAATCCATCCACCTCTTTCAACTTACTGAGCTACCACTGTTTTCTAGACTAATGCAATAGTTTTTTTTTTTCTTTTTACATCCCACAACACCTTATTGAATGCAGTAATAATAATGATCTGACTTTTATAAATGCACATGAAGGCGAAGTTGCAGAAAGTCTGCAAAGGAAAGATTTTAAAAGATTGGCATTGAAGTATATGAGACATTGAAAGGAAAAGGAATACTGTGGCCATCTCGACCTGTTTCACTAATTTGGTACTGTTTTTGCATCCCATTTTGCTCCTCTGAAGATGACCTTTTAGGACAAAGATTCATACTACTTTCTAACATTCTACATTTTATTTTCTCCATGAAATTTTGCCTGGAGATAGTCTGCAATCTCTTTACCACCCACATTGTTGTTTTTTACCTTTTACATATTTGCTATGTGCAATCAGATATCAGCTAGAATTTTGCTTTCCCTTTAGATGTAGGAAACATTAGTTGAACCTCTATTCTAAACCCCGCAGATTTCAAAAACTTCTCTCAAGTATCTGTGAAATTTCTGGAGATCACATATCTTCATAATTTCTTTGGGTTGTAAGCTCCATTTCTGGTAAGTTAGTTCTGTTTGGGCTTGCATGTGATTTTCTCACAATTCTATGAGGTGAGCACCTATTTTTCACTATGTGAGTCTCAAACTTGCTCCCAGATTTATGACATTACCGTATCCCTCTAGAGAAAGCCCTTTCACACACATTTTATGTGTAGCAAATTTCTCTGAATCATTGGAGCTGTGGAGGAAGGTGCTGGAAGGAAACAGAAGCGTACGTATAAGAGGAATGAAAACACAGCATTAGGTAATAATTGTTCTTAGAAGTCCATTGGTTCCTCATCACCAGGAATTTCTTCACTAGCTATTTTTTTATGAGCCAAAATTATCCCTAGCTTTTTTCTCTTTCTCAGACCAATTTCTTCCATCCCCTTATGATATATGCACACATTGTCTATATGATAGACATATAGCATTTATCTCTTCTTTCTCTTGTGTCATTAGTTTCCCATCTTTAACGAATTATTCTCATCAGTACACAAATACTCTGTGATCTTTCCAATCAAAAAAAAACCTCTTGATTACACTTCTTTCAGGTATGACTTTCTTTCCTTGCCTTACACTAAAATTTTTAGAATACGGTGTCTATTCTTCCATTCTTCAGTTCCCATCTTCCTATTCACTCTTCAACCCAATTCGGGCTTTTAGTACCCTTCTTCATCACCACTACTCGATTAAAGTTGTTCTGAAGATTTATAGCACTCTCAATTTTGCTAAACTGTGGTCATTCTTGCCCTCATCTTCTTGCCCTTTAAACAGCATTTATCTCAATTGATTACTTCTTTGACTTGCATTCTTTACCTGGATTCAAGGAATTCCCCATTACTGGTTCTTTTTCTAACTTATTGGTCACTTTTTTCAAGTCTCTTTAACTGATTTCTCCTCATCTTCCTCATTTAATATCATTAGAAGCTCACAGATATTTGTGTTTTAATTTCTTTATCCACATTCACTCCTTTGGAATCCATTCTCATAGCATCTATGTGTTATCAATTCTCAAATCTGTATTTCTCATCAAACTATAACTCAAATTGTTAAAATATGAATCTATAAATTGTGAACATAGGTCAGAATTTAATTCATTAATGAGAAAACCAGTAGGATTATCAAGTTGATTTTATATTGTTCCAGATGCTACAAAAAAGAAACTTTATATACAACATTATAAAGAACTTTGTCCAATAATTGAGTACATTTTCTTATGAGATAATAGGCTTAAGTAAAAAGTCCAAAAGACAATTTAGCAAGAGTTTTCTTAAGAAGTTCTTATTTTAGATAAGAGGTAGGATTGAGGCAGGAAAAT